TATTGGGGAAAACGCCATATGTATGAGCATCCTTGAAAAGATCGAAAGCGGGTTTAATATAGTTCTGGTGAGAAACAAGAATTTCAAGAATACCATTTAAATGCTTGGGTGAAGGATTGCAGTCGAACTTGAGAATAGTGTAGAATATTTTGAGAGCTTTATCTGGGAGATTTGCTTCTCCGTAGATGTTGATTATGTAAGAGAAAAGAGTTGGGGTTACCGGGTAATTTTTGGATTTGAGGTCAATGAGAAGGTCATCAATGAAAGAGAAGTATTTGGCTCGACCGAGTTTGAGAATGAGAATGAGATAGGATGAGTAAGAGTGTTGGAAATTGGGTTGGCGAGAAGCGTAGTCGAAGATTTCTTTAGCTAAGAGAGGATCTGATTGGGAAGCTATGAGTTTTTGGACTCGAGATGGTGACCCAATTGGGGATTTGGTGTTGGCATTTGGATGGGAATCGAAAGGTTCTGGTTCACGTTTGTGTTGTTGGTGATGGTGGGGTGATGAGGAGTAAAAGAAGAGTGATTGAGGTTTTGGCAGGATTGGGACAGTACGAGCACGAGGAGGAGTCGTTAACAATAAAATTTTGCAGGTGACCAGGAATGGTTTATGCATGTTGAAAGGCACCTAGGATCAACACACAGATTCATTACCCATTAAACAAGGACTCTGATCTGGAGTCGTCGGCAGGAACCATTCAAGTCGAATCCGTCTTTCTGTCTACAAATATGGATTCGAACTAGTTAGGCAGTGAAATATACAGTGTGGATTTTGTTCGTCTCGAAGACAGAATTCCAGTCGAAGATGACGACTGGCGGCTTAAGTATACTGTGTGAGGATGTTTAGGTTTTGGTGGGCTACCTGTCACTTCAGAGAAAGTTTCACGGGCTTTAGAATTGATAAGAAAAAAAGGAAGATCACAGCAAGACTAGTAGCCTCGGAAACTTAATGGGCTAATAGCCCATTGACTCGGTCTCGGGCCCAGTAAACCAGGGACGTTATAAATTTATTATTATATATCATTACTTCTTCTTTCTTTTTCCCGAAATATAGAGATATAAGAAGTTACAAGCACCTTGCAGGAAAAACAAATCAGGAAATGAGGGTTTATGTCTATGCCTAGTGATGGATCAGCATTGTTGTTTTTCTTTGGATTTGTCCTTTAAAAGAGTGATCAATCAGAGTGTAATAACTTATTATTTTTAAGCTGAAAAATATATGAATATGGCGAGTTGTTAAATTCATCATTATTGTGATCAGTCAGATGCTACGCCAATGCTCTTTTCACGTTATAAATATTTTATTCTATTTTATTCTGACAAATTGAAAATATTTTATCCTAAAAAATTATAGATATTTAGTTGATGCTTTTGCTTCAACTCTTTTTTTTTTTTTTTGCTTCAACTCTTTATCTCCAATAAAAAGTGTAAATGGCTATAAAAAGACAAGGAATGTCTTTTTAAAGGAAATTCAATTTTTTCTCCAATAAGAAAATAATGTCTATTTTAGATGTCTTTTTTAAACTATGACTATTTTTTCTAGTAAATGATATTAATTTAATCATTAAAAAGTTTTCAAGAAAATTTTTTTTATGAATATTAAACACAAGTAAGCTTCCTCAATAACAAATGGATTAGATTTTCAAAACCATAAAATTAACCAAGTATCTTAAATACTAGCTTGATATACGAAGTTCATGAGATAAACTTGGACCTCACCTGGTAATATTTATTAATGAATGGAAAATAATCTTTTTTTTTTTTTTATGTATAAGAATTTATAGTTTATTTTAACCTATTTTCTCCTTCTTCCTTTACCCTGTCTTCAAATTAATTTTCGCTACATATAATATGGAAATGGGATGTACATAACTTAAAAATATCACACAATCTTAATGTCATAAATAAATGTTCAATGAGACTACAATATTAATAATCATATTTTTTTTTGCAATAGTGACGAGACAAGAAAATCTCAAGAGAATGATTTGGTAGTTAAGAAGATATATATATATATATATATAAAGGTTTAAACTTTGAAATCATCCTTTAAAACAATTATTAATTTTTTTCTAAATAATATTTTGAAAAAAAATCACCTTCATTGTCTTGAAGCGTTAGGAGAATCTATTTGGAGATTTTGTTTAAGTAATTAGCATATCCAATCTATATTATATTATTATTGTTGTTGTTATTATTTAAAAAAGAGTGAAATTTCGGTTGTGAAGATTTGAGGCCCGTTTAATTTGGAACTGGACCTTTAATTTTCCTTCCCATGGGCTTACAATTATTAATTTTTTTTTAAATAATATTTTGAAAAAAAATCACCTTTATTTTCTTGAAGAGTTAGGAGAATTTATTTGGAGATTTTGTTTAAGTAATTAGCATATCTAATTTATATTATTGTTGTTGTTGTTGATATTTAAAAAAGAGTGAAATTTCGGTTGTGAAGATTTGAGGCCCGTTTAATTTGGAACTGGACCTTTAATTTTCCTTCCCATGGGCTTGACTTGATCCAACCGCACTGTCTCTCTCTCTATCTTTCAAGTGCTGGAAAACAATCACACGGGCCCATAAAAGTTTTTCATATTTTATCGCTTAAAGAATTTTTCTCTCATGGGTCCAGTTACGAAGTGCTTTCCTTCGCTGGGATTTATTTCCTGAGCCGATGACACCGAATCGAGTCCCCTTGGTCATGCTCACGGATGGCGACTACATCAACAAACACAGTAACCTGTCCTATATCCATCGCAGCGTCCAAGGATTATTGAAGGTCTCTTTGGAACACGCTGGAGAATGTGTTTTTTTTTAAAAAAAAAAATTATTATTTTTTATATTGTTTTAATATATTAATATTAAAAATAATTTTTTTTATTTTAATATATTTCTATAAAAAAACACTTGAAATCGCAAAGCTACCACAATTTCAAACACATTCTTAATTTTATTAATTTTAATAGATATATAAAAATGTGGTTTTTAAAGTGTATTTTTATTTCTAAATATATTATAATAATATTTTTGATTTTTTAAAATTTTTTATAATATTAATACATTAAAATAATATATATATATATATATAATAATTTTAAATAAAAATAATTAAAATTTCTAAAAAACACCTGTTTGAAATATAATTGTAAACGGCACCTTAATGCAAGTAACTATTTATTCTATAAAACTATTAGTTGAACTATATTTACTTAGAATCAACATGGTAGACATGAAAGAAATAACGAGGTTATGTCCGAAATAAATAATTTAATAACTTATCTTAGAAATTAAATCAAGAGTTAAGTAGGGATATCATCATTATGCTAAAAAATGATTTTTTTTATAAGAAAAATAAACCCTATATGTGCAAATCAATTATCACCAATTTATCATGCACTAAGACTATATTTGTTTCCTGAAAAATAATTTTTAAAAAACTATTTTTCAAACTTTTATATGTTTGTTTACCATTAGAAAAGTTAGTCAACGGAAAATATTTTTCTATCAATGAAAAACACTTTTCAGTTAACGGAAAATACTTTCTGGTCAACAAAAAATATTTTTCAGTCAAAGAAAAAATTTGCTTGATTTTCAGGAAAGTATTTTTCTTTCTATCCGTGTTTGTTTTCCAGAAAATAGTTTCAGAGAAATCACTTTTCAAACTTTTTTATATTTGTTTGCTGTTATGAAAGTTAATCAAAGGAAAACACTTTCCAATCAAAGAAAAATTTAGCTTGATTTTCAGGAACGTGTTTTTCTGAAAAATTTGAGAGGAAAACACTTTCCTGAAGCCGTGAAAAATTTAGAAATGTCATTATTTGTTGATTATATCAAATTTGATCCTCAAA